CTCCACCCAGGGTTGTCTCGGACAGAGACAATCTGATGGGCAGGATCATCCTGCGGGAATCGAGCCAAGTGGCCATATAGCCTGAGTTGGCGATCACGGATTGTGCAAGTAACAGGTCCTGTACCAGTCTCACGGTGTAGCTGTTGGTTGGACACATGGTCCCACCAACTGTACCCCATGATCCGGCGCAAGGATCTGTTACAAAGGCATCGAGACGAGATTCCAAAGCACAAGATAGCTCAGCCTCCGGGCTAGTACAGTGGTAACGTGTCGGCCTCTCATCCGAGGGGTCGGCGGTTCGCGCCCCGCCCAGGCGCGAGAAGTTGCAATTGTCGCCTGAAGGTTACTGCTGTGTCTGGGCACCACGGTGGGTAAGGACTAAGCTCATCCGAGTCAGCACCTGCTGACACACTGTTAGCGAGTCGACATTAGTCGGCACAGGCCGGGCTCCCCCATAGCCCGGGCGAGGCTCAGCTTCGCATATCAGACTTATCCTTACAAGATAGCGTCCAAGTTTCACTACCATATAGTAAAACTGGCAGAATCAGGGCCTTGAAAACTCGTAGCTTGGTCCTTCTGCACAGGTACCAGCATCTCCAAATACTCTTGTCAAGAGATTTCATGACTCCTGCTGCCAGGCCAATCCGTCTACTGACTTCCTGGTCTGACAGCCCAGAGTCATGAACTGCACTACCGAGGTATATAAAACTCCTTGTGACTTCGATGTTTTCACCGCAAGCACGTACAGACTGCACAGGGTCTCCTAGTAGGCCCCCAAAATCCTAGATCTTGGTCTTGGCTTCGCTTCATGGCTAAATGCATCAAGAGCCGCCACTAGGGTTTCCAGAGATTCAGAAAGAATAGCAAAATCATCAGCAAAGTCAAGGTCGGTAACCTTGATAGTGCCCAGAGTTGCTCCACAGTGACTACTACTACTACCCAGTATCCAATCCATGCAAGTGTTGAAAAGTGTTGGTGCAAGAACACAGCCTTGCCTCACGCCTGAACTAACAGGAAAGAAGCTCGACAGGCCCCCACCACACTTTACAGCACTTTCAGTGCCTGTATACAGGTTTGCTATTAGCCCAATAATCCTTGTTGGAATTCCTCTCAGTCTCAGGATCTCCCAGAGTGATTCGCGATGCACCGTATCAAACGCCTTCTTGAGCTCGATGTAGGCTGCGAGCAGCCCACGTCCGAACTCACGACGGCGCTCTGCAATGACTCGAAGCGCCAGGATGCGGTCTATTGTGGACTTACCAGGAGTGAACCCAGATTGCTCCGGTCTCTGGTGCCTCAGGAGGTGGTCTCTGATACGTCTCAGTAAGATATGGGCAAGTACCTTGCCTGGTACACTGAGCAGTGTAATGCCTCAATGATTGCTGCAGTCCCACCAATCCCCTTTCCCCTTCCAGAGAGGAATGACCACACCCCTCAGCAGGTCAGGGGGAATGGTACCAGGCTGCCAGATGGCAGACAGGACTGCATGCAAGCCCCTTGCCATAGGTTCTCCACCAGCCTTTAACAATTCAGCTGGGATGCCACAAACACCTGCTGCTTTACCACTCTTCAGTTTGGAGATCGCCCCCTTGACTTCAGTCAGGGAGGGTGGATCCTCGCTGATGGGTGGGTCTGGCAGAGGAGTCTCAACATTCCCAGCATCCAAGTTAACTGTTGGTGGATCAACCTGATACAGCTGCTCAAAATACTCAGCCCAATACACACGCACCCCATCAGGATCTGAGATTACCTGGCCACTTGCTGAGCGGACTGCCGTCGTCTGTGAGGAGGGCTTGGAGTTCAGCTTTCTCAGAGCTTGGTAGGCAGGATGAAGGTCATTTACTAGGAAATGGCTTTCGACCTCCTCTGCAAGATTACTGATAAACTGTTCCTTATCCCTTCTCAACAGTGACCTAGTCCTGCACGCCAGAGAATGGTGCAAAATGCGATCCCCTGACAATTGAGCCGTATGACAAGCTTCTGTGGCTTCCAGTGTCTCTTGCAAGATGGAATTCTGTCTTGCTCTTGGGCGTACACCAATGGATTCCTGAGCTGCATCAAGCGTTTCACTCTTGAAGGAATCCCACATAACAACAGGGTCTGTCAGGCACTCGAGTGCTGTGAGACGACCAGAGATAGCCTCAGCAAATCCCCGGGCACACTCATCCTCCCTCAGTCTGTCCAGATGAAACACCCTGGGGTCTTCATTTGGTCGACGGGGGGTTCTAAAGTGGACCCCAGAGAGTAGCCACAACTAATCTATGATCAGTTCCACAGAACTCGGCGCTTCGATACACCCTGCAGTTTTGGAGGATCCTCCACTGAGTGTTGACGAGGATGTGGTCGATCTCCTTGGCCACACTACCCGTATCGCTGTACCAAGTCTAGCGATGCGGGTCAGAACGCTGATACCAGGAGCCAGAGATCCTCAATTTCTGGGACTTAGCAAAGTCACGGAAAAGGAGGCTATTTTCGCTGCCAGCATCAGCTCCTGAGCCAT